ATTTATCCATAGATGTAGATAGCCTTATAGGCTAGGAATGTCTTATTATAATATAAATAAAAAAAAAAAAAAAAAGTACTTTTTGTACGAAATTCAAATTCATAAAATATTAATGCTAATTTAATATTTTAAAAGTCGTATTAAAAAAATTTTGTAGGTATGATTAATTTTTCAATTTTTATAACAATTAAACTCGCTGAAATAAAAATTACAATTATTTTTATAAAATATAAATCTCTCTATTATAATTTATATTAAATGATAGTAAAATAATAGTCTTGAAATTATTTTCGGAGTAATAATATGCCTATATAATTATATCATAAATAGTTGGACCACTTACTACTTTTCAACTTATTGAATGTGAGATTATAGTCTATGAAAATTAAACATATAAAGCTTATATAATTACTATAGTTAAATAAAGATAAAAAAAAGTAAAGTAGGTAATTGGTATCGCTCTACTGTACATTAGATGTCGAGTCACTATTAAAGTGTTGCTAAGTTTGTATTCAATGACAAATCTTTTACGAAAAACGACTCTAAGCAGAAACGGACTGTCAGTTTTATCACTATAAGTAATATATTTATTTGTTATAGTTATTGAATTCATTTATTTTTCTTTTAGTATTATAGTAGAATGATACATTTTTTTCCCAAAAATATTGCATTTATTATATTATTAGTATTTAATTATTATAATAATATATATTGATACTATATTACATCAAATTATACAACTCAAAATGTAATGACTACTCTCTGTAAATACCGTAAAACAGTAAATCAATTCACGGTAGACAGTCATCAACCGTACGTATTTTTTATTGTGCCCGTAACCATAGAAAAAATTATTAAAGTATTACCATCATCTATAGGATTCAGATCATCGTTTTCTAAAATAAAATGTATTTGTAAAATTATTATCATTAGATACTAAAAATTGTAGCTCTTGTTACGTCTATTGGTTGTATGAAATTGGTCGTAGTATATTTTCGTCGTGAGACATGAATACTGGTTTAATAAAATTATAACTTTTATGTAGGTGCAAGTGGATATTATCCCGGATTACACATTTTGCGATAAAAAGTTGAATAATAGTATGTACAAATGTACAACCTGCAGCATTGACAGCATTATTATACAAATATAATAATTAAATAAATAAATATTTTTAATTAAATAGTACAGTATTTTCCAGTCAAATATCCGGCGTAAGGTTAATGAAAAGGACTATTCTGCACGTAAGAGAACTTTAAAATGGTTCAATATTGTGCTGGGACAGAAACCCCTGGAAAACGGTATAAATATGATATAATGACACCGCTAAGAGAAATACAATAATAGAGTATGAAAAACATTTAATAATAGAAAATTTAGTGAACATAATACATCAGAGATATAGTTCTTAACTTATAGTTATTTTTAAGCATATTACTTTTTCATTATTTATACAAATTATTTTAAGAAAAATTACGACAAAATATTATTTTTACATAATATACATATTAATTTGAAAACGATTAATTTTCCAAACAACCAATTTACCTAATGACAAATGTCATACAACCAATTGACTGTACCCCAAAATTATTTACTATTTTGGTAAGGCAAGAAACTGATTATCAATGATTTATCGTATAGACATATAAATATTAATATATCAATATGATTTATGCATTAAATCAATTTTATAATATTTTTTTTTAATAATGAATTTAACTAAAAGTAATAAATAAAATAAAAATATTTATGATCGGTAAAAGATCATATTTTTAAGTATTTAGATTTTTTAAGGAGTATCCTAGAACATTTCAGACATTTTTTTTTCATGTGAGAATCACCCTATTTTTGCTGTGGATTATTGAGCATTTGCAGACTTTTTGAAAATATTGATGTATCTAAATCGAAATTTAAACTAATAGATTTTGAGTTATTTAATTTTGTACATTAAGGTAGAAAGATTCAATATTACATTTATTTTAAATTTCTATAAACCCATTTTTAAGGATTATTAACTTTAGTATATACAATTTAATAGTTCAAAAATTACTAATTTTAATTTATATGTATCACAATAATTTTCAAAATAATCATTTGCATTGATAGAAAATAGGTATTGACTCTTATTAGAAAAAAAGAAGTTTTAATCACCACATGGGCGGGCACTCCTATATGATAAAATAATAATATAGAAATATGATTCTTTAGAGTACTTAAAAATTTCAAAATCGTAATTTGAATAAATTCATTACTAGAAAAAATAGGGTTGAGCGTGCTAAGTAACTAGTAAGTGAATAACTTTTCTCTTGTAGGTACATAAGTTATATGACTAACATATGTACCTACCTATTATTTTCTACGTATAGTTATTAGGTACTTAATTTAATTTTAATTTTCAATATTATATTTAAGCTTTAGATTTATACAAAATGTAAATGCAAATCTCAATAGACAATTTTTGAGCATCCCTCTTAAACCGTTTGTAGTTCTATCATCTTCATAAAAAAATAAAAAATATTCCACTCTATTTAAATTTTTCTAGTACTATTATGATTTATGTTGCATATACTTACTAAAGTCTTCTACACCATATATTATCAAAAAATAAATCATTCAACATATAAATATTAAGTATACTCATATAGTCATGTGTATCAAAATAAGTAATAACTAATGATCAGAACTCAGAAGTTTTAGCTATGTGTTTATGGTACTAAATGCTTATTATAAACATATTTTTATACGTAATAAAGGAAATATACAATATAACCCCAATAAAGTATACAAATATGCAAACGAAAATATGTATTTTTATTTTCTAATCATAATTAACGGTTGTTATTGCCGATTGTACCAGATAGATTTATTCTACTAATATCTAATAATTTGATTATTTTTAAAATAATGTTGAATGCAGCTTACTGTAATTATAGGATTCGATGTATTTTCGTTCTAAAGTCGGACCAAATATCTATAGTTTTTAAATACCTACTAATTACTAGTTTACTACCATATTCTAAAAAAAAATTGAAATTTGTTCAACCAAAATAAAAAATTTAAAAACTTACTCGACAATTTTATTTTGCTTATTTACAAATTTTTAAAGCTAGTTTTTGTGTTTTTAAATACATATTAAAGAGCTAAAAATGTAATTTTTAATTTTATATCTTCTGAGTTCTGCTATTGACTATGAAATAAATAAATAATGATTTATTATTCTAAATTAACTTAAAAATAAATTACCCGGTTTAAATGTTAATTTTGAATTAAAAAAACTTTTTTCTAATAAATAAATAACTTGAATTAGACATATAGATTCTAATTACAAATGGTTAAAACATTGAATTTATATTTTAATCTTGTATATACTTTATAGTTTATAATAATGTGCTTATGTGCTTAAATTAAATAAAAAAATGTCTTCTAAATAAGTTGTACATAATTTCAGTTTGATTATTTAAAAAAAAAAAACCCAAACATTTCAAAAACAAAGTTAATTATTTAATTTTTACAAAATTTATTATAATTTTTATTCAATAATAACATAATATACTTACGGAATTTCATTGCTAATTAAATAAATAAATTTAAAATGATTAAAAAAGCTGATAATAAAAAATTAGGATTATTTTTGGCAAGACATAGATTTTATTCTTGTTACACTAATATGTAATACCTATTAATCTTAAAATATACACTGTAATTATTGGTCATAAAATATAAAAAAAAAAACATTTTTTTAAATTTGAAATTAATACATGTAATTAACTTTGGTGGTGGTTATTTTTAAATATAGCATGCGAAAGTTGACCGATAAATAAAAAAATAAATACATACACGATATGTTAAATACATCATGTTATAACTTTGATATATAGATAAATTTGTATTTCTGGACGCGCACGATTCTTCCGGACCTGATAAGATAGACGAAAAGGTGTCCCAAAGACCTCACGTTTCATGTAACGCAGGCTCTTACGGGACACGGGTGTTTCAGGTACTACCTACACAGGATGAAGCGCGCCCCTGATGCGGCCTGCCTGTACTGCCGACACCCGGAGGACACTGCGGAACACACGATATTCGATTGTGTTCACTGGGATCCGCTTCGGCTGCCAGTGAAGATGTTTATTGGAAACCGAAATATAACCCCGGAAGACGTTCAGGATTTGTTGTGCGGCCCCTCTGATGTCTCGTCCAGCGAGAACGACCGGCTACAGGCTGCCTCCCAACGCGCCACCCAGTCATTTTACGATATGGTTGACAATATTTTAAGCTGCAAGGAGCATGACGAAAGGATAGCTGAGATAATGCATTGGCAGCCGCTCCAATTGACTGAGCACACAGAGATGCACTCGACAACGGACCGCGAATACTGACGGACTTTAGTTATTTATTGTACTGTATTGTATTGTATTGTATCGAATCGTAATGTATTTAATGTATTAATATTTTTATTTTTAAGATGAATCAACCATAATTATTTATGTGTATATTATTAAGTATGTGCATGTATTAACGTTTTTTTTTATTAAACATTAATAAACGATGGCAGCAGAGGAGTAGTAGTGTTCACACAGATCCTCCTCTGCTGTCGGTTCAAACGGAAAAAAAGAAAAAAAAAAAGGTAAATTTGTATTTTACAGATATACAGTAAAGTTACAATACAAATTATATTTATATCCTAGTACGTATTTACTAGGCTATTTTTAGTAGATTTTATGCTAGCTTTTACATTTTTAGATCTCGAAATTACTATAATAGGATCTTATAAGTTTTTTTTTATTTTTTTATTTATTACCTACTTAAGAATTCAAAATAAGCATAAGTTGGTATTTTCAATTCTGTGTAAAACAACGAATATCTAGCTATTAATAAGTAACTATATTGTTCTTGTATAGATAGTATTTCCATTTTTTTTTTTTATCTTTAAAATAGAGTAATTTTTTCATTTATTTTTAATTTTACCCGATTACATATTATTTTTTAAAACTTACTAAACTCAAGTTTCATTTTATCATATTCCTCATATGAATCATCAACACTTGGTAACACTGTAAAAAATATTATTTAATGTATAAACTTAATGTGATCGAGTAGTCGTGATTAAAAGTGATCCCTTCTAATCGTAATAGGAAATTTAGGGCAGGGGTGTCCAACCTTTTGTGAAGTCTGGGCCACGTCATATGGGTAGAAGTTGTTACGGGCCGCATAGTTTTTAATAATAGTTAATACATACAGTGTTTTATTTTTATTTGTTGATAAATGACATGAGATCAATGTCGTGGACATATCTCCAATAATAAGATATTTTATCAAAATCGGCTCGAGTTGATCCACTAATCACTCGTACCTATAATTAATGTGTGCCCGTGCTATTATGCTAAGATACAAGTATTAAACACGATTAAAGTTTATTTAATGTTTAATATTATGTAGTTTTATATTCTTATGATAAATTTGTTCTCGTAATATTAATATATAATATACAATTAGTTAATAGTTTTTAAATTGAAGTGAGGGCCGCATCAATATCTACCAGGGGCCGCGAGTGACACCCCTGATTTAGGGGCTTGTTGTAGGTATGGCATTTACCATAATATTGAATGTTAAAGCAGATAACTTACAATGATAAAAAAGCTACACACAAACAGCAGCAATAGAGACGGAAACTGTTTGATTTATGACAACTTTACAATAAAAAGGAATATATGAATAAGATCGTATAAATTGTCACAAGAACAGCAATAGACATGGAGTATTCTAATTAAAAAAATTCCTGAGGTAAAATAGTTGCTTATTTAGATTTCTTGGTGGGAACTTCTGGATAAGAAAGAAGAATTAACAATTCCTTAACAGCAGTTTTTTGAAATATTAGACAGCGTAAAAATTAAAGAATATAACATGGAAATGATGAAGATATAGGCAGTCAGTAAATAAATTAAAAAAATTAAAAGGAAAATAACACACTTAAAACATACACCAATTTTAAATATAATATAGTACAGTATAGTAACTCAGAAATAATAGATAACAACTGCATAGCTAATCATTATAAAAATTGCATTATTTCATTGCTCTAGAAAATTAACAGGAATGCAGAAAATTTATCATATTAAAATAAATAAATCCAAAGAAAATATACTTGTAAAACACGTGCAAGGAGATGGAGTTCCGAATAAAAACTTGTAGCAGAGATGTAGCACATGAAGTAGTTAAAAAGTTCTTGAACTTCACATTTTTATCTAAAATTTCGAAATTGATACTAATCAAATCCAATATTTAACAAGCATTTTCAAGTACATTTTTTAAATTTGCAAGTCACTCTATCTTTTGAACTTATACAATTGGCCACCCTGTTAAGATCTAGAACTTCAAAATTGGTACTAAATAAAAGCTAATGATTTGTAAGTATTTGCACGTTTACTTTTAGAATTTGGAAATAACCCGCATTGGGTTGAGCCCTTTTTATGTGGAAGCTTTCACTTATTTTTAAGATTCGAGTTTAGTAGTTTATAATAAAAAATAAAAATAAATGTATTTTATCAGAATATTAATACATTACGATAATAATTCAACAGTAATTTGTCAATAATCTTTTAACAAAAGTATAATTTTATTAAGGAAATATTATTGAAACCGATTTTCCAAGTAGAACAAGTGAAAACAAAGAGAATTCTAGTTAAATTAATGGCGCACAAATGTTTATTATGATGAAACTTTGAAAATTATGATTATTTCTAGAATGAGGAGGACTGAAGAACATTTCCCCAGTTCCACTAACGTAATTTTGAATTTGAGATTAAATTTGTATCACACAAGTTCTAAAAATAATTTTCCTAATTTTGAAAATAATTGCATAATTTTATAATAATAGCAAACTAGTTTTAAGTAAAAAAAAAAAGTTTAAAATTGGCATATGAGAAGGGGAGGATTGCCAAAATCCACGTTTTTTAATGTATCTAAAGTATTAGGTACACATTATTAATTAAATAATATATACTATATTAATTAAATAATATAAATAATACTTACAATTGTATACTATTTGTATTCCCAAACAATAAAAATAAACAATTTAATGTCAGTTATTTTTTATTTGATGTACGAGTACTTTAATTTAAGTTCTTTTTTTATGCAAATAATTGTAATAAAAAACCGATTAAAAATAATAATATTTATCGTACTCATAACTCATAAGTATAAATTTACCTACATCAGCTATATTTGCATGATAAACATATATTTTTATCATTTTTTATTTGATATGAAACAAAATTGAATTTAAGTACTAAATAGCTATTAGATACTTCTAATTATGTTTTTCGAAACGAAAACTGACCTATCGCACACGCAATACCACGATCAATAGCCTCAAGCGACTAATAAAATAATAACCTTGTTGTTGATGCTTATATGAGCAAATAAGCAATAATATTAGAATTTAAATAATGTAACTACTTACAAATAATTACTTCGTCATATTCTATATCGGTTAATTTACGACAGTTGGTATCTGTAAAATGTGTATTAGTTAAAAAAAAAAATCACTCACGATCCACGGAGATCGATTCATCCAGTCGCCATCATTATTTTTCTGCACTTCAGTAATACGAAGATGCATTTCCCTGGCACCCTCACCTCCGAATTTCGGATTCAAACCAAGGGCTTTCGTTTGTGCTACGTTTGTGCTGGATTGTGTCCGAGTTTCATCGTTTGAGCTACAACCCTTCAAGATTTATAAGGGATTTTTTGTGGGGGTGCTGGCGAAACGACTGCACCCCCACCTCAGAATTTTCAAATTTAAATTATGCCATTCGTTTGTGCTACATTTGTGCTAAAAAAAAAAATGTAAAATCACCTATAAACCTAAAGAGAACAGGTCAATAACTGCTTTGTTAAATTTTAAACTCTATTTATTTTACATTTTTTTTTTTTTTTTTTGTAATTTTTGGTTTTTAATTTTAACATTTAACGGTTAAAGATACAGATTATTTTGTAAAAGGAAATATTATCTATTGGGGCCTTTTAATTATATATCGTAGTAGATGTTCACAATAATTACGATTACTTGTAACCTTTTTAACTATGTAGGTCATATTTTTTTTCAATTTTTCATCAAGGGCCACATTAACAAAAAAAAAAAATTACATACGATATAATATTATATAACAATTTTATTGCTATTACATTTTATCGTTTTACGTGGAAATATGAGTAAAAAAAGATACAAATTCTACTAGAAAAAATTTTATTGAATAAAAAATTGTATATTTGTAAATTATACGATTTCTGTGCTTGCAGTTTATTAGTTAATTTTTCGATATCAGCTAGCTTGAAAATCTGTTGTTAACTCGTAATACAGCGTGTAAGCATTTATAACTAAGGCTTGAGGAGTGCTTATTTTTTCTGTACTTCCCAATAAAAAAATGTCTGCTTACATACATATGTACTTGTAAACGTCACTATAAGTTTTTGTGCCAATTGTCTGATTCCCGGAAATGTAGACATACATGAAGACAACTATAAAATTGAAGCAAGCGAATTGCGTCTCAAAAAAAAATTGTTTAAAACTTTGTTATTTTGAAGTTCAATGACCTCCACTTGTAAATTAACTATATAGTATAAACATTAAGTATTAACGATTAGACTAGTTTTTATTTATAAAGCCAAAAGAATTAATTAATACTGAAAATTATATGAAAAATATTATTGAACAAAAATTAACGCGTGGGTAATGAAAAATTGTTTCACCGGCTGCGGGTTACCAACCGCTGATTTACGTAAATATTACAAAAATCAAACTTCTAGAGTAAAGTTAAATTTAAACCTAAAAACTACGAGAAATAATCAAAAGACTCATATAGAACATTTACCTATTAACAACAAACAGTTTCCGACAAAACTCTAGGGGCTGTACTCGTTTTAGGATTTCCAGAGCACCTACTTATAAAAAATATTAAAAACTTTTTTACGAATAACGAGTAAAGCAATAACGATGGAAAAAAGAGTACAAATAATCACTAACAATGTCAAAACCAACGTGACTGATTTAGATTAATAATTGTTAATGGTAGTGTGTCAACATAAAATGGCTCATTTGGAGTTCTAAAATTTTGAATTTGGGGTGCGTTATGACCTCACAAAAAAATCCCTTATAACTCCTGAAGGGTTGTAGCACAAACGATGAAACTCGGGCACAATCTAGCACAAACGTAGCACAAACTAATGGCATAATTTAAATTTGACCTAACCTAATTCTGAGGTGGGGGTGCAGTCGTTTCGCCAGCACCCCCACAAATAATCCCTTATAAACCCTGAAGGGTTGTAGCACAAACGATGAAACTCGGGCACAATCCAGCACAAACGTAGCACAAACGAAAGCCCTTGGTTTGAATCCGAAATTCGGAGGTGGGGGTGCCAGGGAAATACACCTGTAATACGAGGTACAGTCAATTGGTCGTCTAAAGTTTGTCGTTTGGTAAATTGGTATTTTGAAAAATTGATCGTATAAAAAATTAGTCGTAATTTTTCTTAAATTAACATGTAAAAATCTGTGTGAAAATATAAGTTATAAAAAATAATATGTGTGAAAATTATTATAAATTATGAATTATCCTTGATATGTATTTATTCATCAACTAATGTTTTATTATTAGATTTTTTACATGTTGTATTTATCATCTCAGCGGTGTCATTATATTTATTATATTCTTCCTTTTTCTAGGGATTTTTACTTCGGTACAATACGAGTATTGGACCATTTTCAGACGGTTTAGCCTGACAGTTTAAATTTGTATACGCTGTTATTCAACTTATCATCGCAAAACGTATAATAATGATTATTTTCCATTTGTATCTATATATTATAACGTTCTTAAACTAATATTCATGTTTTGCGATAAAAACATACTTCGACCAATTTACCAAACGACCGATTTTTATACAATTAATTGACGTAAACTCCAGTAATATAATTATATAAATTAATCCAATGTATTAAAAAAATAAATTACTATATGTTTTTCTTTTTTCAAGATATATCAAGTCAGCTTGTATGATTTGAGAAACTGAATAATAATAAAAAAAGTATTTACATTTTTAATTAATTATAACCATTTTGATTACATAACCATTTATAGAGCATTACATATTAATGATATGATTGTTGACTAAAACCGTATTATTTTAAATTTCCTTATTAGTAACGCAAACTTAGCTTACAATGCTGATATTATTTCTTATTCTATATCCTAAAAGTTAATTAACTATAATTTTTAGATATTTTAAATAATATAGGTAGATAGAAAATAAGTAAATTCAAGTCTCAACATAATACACACGGTTTTCACCAGTTTATTTTAGACCTTCTATCCAGGAGAATGAGGGTTATTGTGAATTTTCAAGGGGTTATGCCAAAGAAGTAAATGATGAAAGGAAGTAAAATATTGTTTTAAGTTCAATTTATCGGTATAGATAGAAGATGCCTAATTAACATAAATTCTCTAAAATCTTGTATAATTTTCATATATA